CCGCAAAAGAATAAATAGACACAAATCGGACATCAGGAATGGTAACATACATAAGCCGGTAAGTGAACACTTCAATCTCCCTGGTCATTCTATTACAGATTTAAAAGTCACTATCATTGAACAAAAAAACTTCAGAAACAGACTTCAAAAAGAAACAGCAGAACTAAAATTCATTTGCAAATTTAACACCATTAATCTGGGCTTGAACAGGGACTGGGAATGGCTGGCTCATTACAGAAGCAACTTTTCCTCTCCTGGAATTGACACCTCCTCATCTATTATTGGGAGTGGACTACATCTACCCTGATTGAGTTGGCCTTGTCAACACTGGTTCTCCACTTGCGAAGTAACTCCCTGGTCTCCATGTGTCAGTATATAATGCCTGCATCTGTAACTTTCACTATGCATCTGAAGAAATGAGGGTTTTACTCACGAAAGCTTATGCCCAAATAAATCTGTTAGTCTTTAAGGTGCCACCAGACTCCTTGTTGTTTTTTTCCAAAATTTTAAGAACATTGAAATAAGATATGAAGGGAAAAGCCTCTGGCATTCATTGCCACTTTCTCATACCCTTCAACATCATCAGTAACTCTTTCACTTCCAGCTGTAGTAAATACTGAAAAGCCATTTGTACCCCAATTTTAGCAAACTTGTGCTCTGCCACAAAATCTTAGTTTCAACCTCATACACTTTTATATCAAGAAACTGGCACATCTGACTTTCATACAGTCCGTATACATGTAACATCATTCCACCTTAGCATCGCACAGGTTGATTTTTGTGTTAAGAGTGTGAGTATGACTAAGGGGGTACATATGACTTATTGGTATTTGATTGAGAAAGAAGTGGATACCTTATGGAGTGTTAATAATAATGACTATTTCTTATAGAGCACTTATCTGTAAAGCTCAAAGCATGTCACCGTCTTGAATATATTTATCTCCACAACACCCCTATGATGAAGTGTTATCACCCCAGTTTTACAGATGGGAATGTGAGACACAGAAGAGCTAAGTGCCTTGCCCAAGGTCACACAGGAGGTGCACGGCAGAGAAGGAAATTGAAGCAGGGTCTCCTACATCTTACGCTAGTGCCCGAGCCACTGGACCATCCTTCCCCTTTAGTATAGTTGTGGACAAAAAAAAAAAGTAAAACATTTATCTGGCATTAGGGTTGTGCAAATGTATCAGTAATTTAAGAGTCTAAAACATTACAAGAACGTTGTAATTATCTTAAAAACAAGCATTGAATACTCAGGAAATTCAGAATTAAAAAGTTAAACTTAAATATCTATACACGCATTGGCTATATATAATGATATAAATAAGGGGGCAGAGAGAAAAAGATTATACTGAGATATATATATATAGAAGAGATTTTAGAGAAAAATCTATATATTACCAAAACTTCAGAGTGAAAATTTCAGACTAACAGTATATTTAAATGCAAAACCTGCCACAGAGTGAAATGTAATTTTGTAGCTTTCCTTGGTAATGCAGAAAACAGCTTGTGATACTTACCACATAAAGTGAAGATGTTTATCAGCTCAAAACTTTAGACCCTCCAAAGTGGCTCAGGAAAGACTGAACCCCTTTTAAAAGCAACTCTATCAGTAGTTTGCCAAAAAAGCCCTCCCATGATGACAATTAAAATATGTATCTTTCAAAGGCTTCCAAACCACCAGAAATAATCCCCTCCCCTCTCCTCACACAGTGAAGAAGGTTGGTCTTCAGTGCTGAGTTTACTGCCAGCAGCGCAGCAGCTGTGAGGGTGAAGTTCAAGGGCTTCGTCACTCTCCTGGTTTCTTACTAAACTGATTTTCACTTTGAGCATCAGTCATTCCTGTAAATTCTGCAGCTGAGGGCTGGGTAGCAGCCTTGGGCAAAGTTTTTTTTTCTCAGAAGCTTTTAGAAAGGGTGCTGATGTTTTCTTAATTTATCTATATTAATTGCTTCCCATGCTTCCTATCACAAGTTCTTTTTACTGCCAGGATAATGAGGTGACCCTCATCCCTCTTTAGGGAGTAATGCTGCAAAGATGCAGAAACACAGGCTTACACATCTACCAATGTGATATATGCCATCATGTGCCAGAAATGCCCCTCTGCCATGTACATTGGCCGAACCGGACAGTCTCTATGCAAAAGAATAAATGGACACAAATCTGACATCAGGAATCATAACATTCAAAAACCAGTAGGAGAACACTTCAATCTCTCTGGTCACTCAGTAACAGACCTAAAAGTGGCAATTCTTCAACAAAAAAAACTTCAAAAATAGACTCCAACATGGAGCTGCAGCACTGGAATTAATTTGCAAACTGGATACCATCAGATTAGACCTGAATAAAGACTGGGAGTGGTTGGGTAATTACAAAACCTAAACTTAATTTCCCCATTACTAATTTCTCCCTACTGTTATTCAGACCTTCTTGTCAACTGTCTGTAATGGGCCACTCTCTTACCACTTGAAAAGTTATTTTTCCTCCCTTGGTATCCTGTTAATTGATTTATCTCATTAGACTGACCTCACACTTGGTAAAGCAACCCGCATCCTTTCATGTATTTATACCTCCTCCTGTATTTTTCACTTCATGCATCTGATGAATTGGGTTCTAGCCCACGAAAGCTTATAACCAAATCAATGTTAGTCTCTAAGGTACCACAAGGACTCCTTGTTGTTTTTGCTGATACAGACTAACATGGCTACCACTCTGAAACAGGCTTAACGATGTACCAAGTGAATTTTCTGCCCCAGCTGACTCACTCATTTTTTGGACTGCTCACAAAGTGCTAATTAGCTGGAAAGCACTTTCCTGCTTTCTTCCAACTTTTATTTGTAACTTATATAAACAACAGTCCATCCTGCTGGACCACAGAAATTCCTTGGAAACTGATAGCCATGATCTATTGTATATTCTAGTAATAATAATTTTAAAGAGAAAGTTTCCCACATATTGAGTGAGGAAATGGCCATATAAAAAGTGGGTAGACAGATAGATAATGCAGTATATTTTACCGTTGCATCCCCTGCATGGCATTTTTAAATTGAGTGCTATTGAAAGGTATGGAATTGGCAGCCCTGGGAGACTGAAATCATTTATTCACAAAACAGGTTCACTAAGGGCAGCAGCAGTGTAAGCTACACTGCCCTGCTACAACATACTTCTGGTGCCCCAAACCTAAGCTGGAATTTAGGACGAGGCGGAGTATGACGCACTAGTTGACAACAGTGGATAACAAAAAAGCCAAAACTAGACGTTTATTTAAAAGTGAATGTGCCCTAAGTTGATAAATAGGCTTGGAAAGAGGAGATTTTTTAATCAGTAACTTGTTCAACATTGAATTTATCGCACACACACACACACAAACCCACAAAAAATATTTCCACTGATAATAATCAAAATGCACAGATAGGCAAAGTAAGAAAAATGCTGCTTGAGAACTTCTTAGAGTTTGATTTAAGGTTATTTACTTGTATATTTTGACATATGGTGTTGAAAATTTGCATTTTAATGGTTATAAAGCTTTAATTTTTTCAAGATGTACTGTCGTTAAATAATTGTCTGACCCCTCCCACTGTCTTACCCTCCCCCCTAATTTTCTGCAACTGTGAAAATTTAAATCAATACACACTGAAAAAAAAATGCTTAAAAGCCATATATAGTAAAAGCTCTGTTAACTGGCGCTTTATCAACCAGAAAGTTCTATTAACCGGCATTTCTGATATTCCCCAATACAAATCTTCAATCTAGTAACTAGTATACTGCCCAGGAGGTTATGCAATTGCCCATTCTGCACTCTGCTTTTAAGCAAAAGAGGCAGAAGACAAGTAAGCAAGCGGACATCAGGGATTTATTCAAAAAAGTAGCTTCCAGGGTGTGTCACAGGGTCATTACAGATTCAATCCAACCTTCTACATCTACAATGATAATTGATGTTGATAATGATGATCCTGAGGCACTGCAAGATCCTGAAGTGCCTTCTGAATCACCAAAGAAAGATTAAATTATGTTCAGTAGCGTTTTAGTGTTAAGTGTATTTTTAGTGATGTGGGTGCACGCCATGCGCTGCCCATAGTGATATGTAGTGTCATACGATAACCTACTGTATAGCAAACTTTACCTGTATACACCTAACTGCTTCAAGAAACCAACCACTCTGCAGTGCAGTACTACTACTGGATTGGGGAGTACCTGTATACTATTTTATACTTTATTCATTTTATTGTATTCTAATTCTTTGAAAATTGGTATTCCATTGGTAAGTATAACTCATAGTTAACTGGAATTTTTGACTAACCGGCATCCCTTATTCCCCCAACACGCTGGATAACAAAGCTTTTACTGTATTTGCGCAACTGTGAACATTTAAATAAACAAACATAAAAACATACTTAAAAATAAACACTATCAGTCAAAATTATAAAAAAAATGAAAATCAAATTCTACCAAGCCTACTGCTAAGGCAGTCTGTCATGGGATTGTAGGACCTTCTGGATATTTTTCTTTTGATTATTATTTTTTTTTAATAACAAATCGTGCAGCCATAACTTGAAATTGTCACTTTGCAGGGGCATGATGTTGGTGAAGAGGTAACCAGCACTTGGACGGAAGGGGACTGAGCTAGAACTGGTAGAAACCCCTGTTCTTCCTGTGGAAAAAAAATTCAAACAAACTTTTAATTTTAAATCTTTTGTGAGAAATTTTCAAAATGGTTCAGATCAAAATTTCTGTTTTGTTTAGATTCTAATTGAACTTTTTGTTTTGATTCACGTCAGAAATTTTGTTTTAAATAATTTTTTTATATGAAAATTTTAAATGTTTACCCCCCCACACACACTTTTCCAGCCCTTCTTCTTTTTTGCCACTGAATGCAATGAAATGAATGAATGTTGTCTAGGGGTTTGTTTTGCTTTATTAATTTTTTCCCCTCTCTTTTTTTTTTTTTTCCTTTTTCCACTAAAACGTAAGGACATTTGGAGATGTTACAGAGGGGCAGATTTACAGTGTTTTATTTTTCCTTTTGCCACTCTTAACTTTTTCAAAGCTGGGAGAATTTTTGAAAAATTATACACAGAGGTTCTCAAACTAGGGGTCGTGAGGTTATTATGTGGGGAGTCGCGAGCCGTCAGCCTCCACACCAAACCCCGCTTTGCCGCCAGCATTTATAATGGTGTTAAATATATAAAAACATGCTTTTAATTTATAAGGGGGTTCACACTCAGAGGCTTGCTATGTGAAAGTGGTCACCAGTACAAAAGTTTGATAATCACTGAATTAAAGAAAGGGGTGGAAAAAGTGGGGAATACACATGCTGGAAATTATTCATTCTATTGCATTCAGTGGCAAAAATGAAAAGGGGGCAAGGAGGGAAAACACAAATAATAACCAACACATATTTGAATACAACAAAAAATTCAATTCAAAATTACATGGAAAGTGTCCTTTTGTTTAGAAACTTCCCATACAGTCATTTAAATTAAATTTTCCACACCAAAAAATGGTTTTTTGACTAAACTATTTTGTGTCAGGAAATTCTTTTGGTCCTTCAGAACTGGCTGCTCTCTCACTGTTCACTGAGGTTGGTGTGGGAAGGGTTCTCTCCCAACAGTATTGTTTGCTGTAAACAATTTGAGGTAAATCCAGTGCATCTCTCTCAAGGGCTGCTTGGAGGCCTCAGGGAGAAGTACAGCCTGGAGCAGCCCTGTGTCAACCACTCTTGGGAGCTGCCTCAGAGCGCAGGTTGTTCCCTGCTATCACCTCTGAGCTCCTCCTGGAGTTTTTCCCTGTCATGCAAAAAAGGGAGGGCCAGGGCTGCAAGCAAACCTCTCAACCCGCCAATATTTGGCACAAGCCATCAAAATACATGACAAATGACCAACGTGTGGAACACCTGGGCTTTTTTGCCCGCTGTGCAGCAAGTGATGGATTATAATGTCTTTTAGCCATAAAACCTGATTTTTAGGGATCTTTTCTCATTAGCTGAATTAAATTGCAAAACTGGCTTATTTGGACTCAGACAGTGAAAAAACATCCCCCAAAACAGGTTTTATACTTAAGAACCATTGTAATCCATCAGTTATAGCACAATTCACAACCAAAGAGCCCCTTTACTCTATCCATGTCCTTCTCACAAACAGTATCCTTTGCCTCCCGCCCCCCTCCTCTCCCCAGTCCTATTTTTCCCTTTGTTCTCCTTGTTGCCTGATGTTGCCTCCTGTTCTCCCCCACTCCCTTACTTTTGCTCTCCATCACCGACCCCTAAAAGAGCCAGGAAACTACCTGGAAATGCTCCAGGGAGCAGCAGCAACAGTAAAGGCAGCAGTCGCTCAGTTCCTCTTCAGACTTCCTTGCTCCTCCTCTCAGCCTGTGGGCTTGCCTCAGGCAGCGACAGTGGTTGTGGAGGGCAGCTCCATCAGACTCCTCATAGTTTCCTAACACTCACCCATGGCCACCACCACCACAATCTCATTTCCAGCTCCTTCATGTTCTCTTGTCCCTACCTGGTCCCCACATGGTGACTAAGGAGTCACCGTGACTTCCCTGAGGGAAACCTGGATTCAGTCCCCTGGGAAACAATCAGAGATGGTGGCCATCTTTAATGGGGGCAACATCACTTTGATGTGTAAAGGCTGTAGGAAAATGGCAGCCACCATGCTGAGGGCAGTCAGTCCCACTGATAGCAATTGGAGTTAGTGGCCATTTTGGATTAGGACAAAATGTCACTGGTCTGAAGGCAGAAATCCACTGTTGCTAACTTGAGTGATGTTATCAGTATTGTCAACCCCAAAAGTTCAAAAAGTTAGGAATTAGACTCCAAAATACCATTAGCTGGGCCTGTAGGAATATAGACCCATGTTA